AATTAACTCACTTAATCCTGACAACATCCTATGATGTACATGCTATTTATTGCCCCATTTTATAGATGAGTTAACTGAGGCAAAGACAGGTTATATAATCTGTCCAGTATCACATAGCTAGTGAGTGGCAGAGCCAAAATTCCAACCACAGACGTTTGACTGTAGAGTCGGTGCTTTAACCCCCACACTGAGCTGCCTCCAAGTGGGCAGGGTTCAAACATTAGGATTCAGCCAACCCTGGGGGTGGGGGGAGGCACTGATAATAGAGCATGGGAAGCACTTGCTTTCAAGAAAAAGTATTTCCCTCTGGGTCCCTTAGCATGAGAAATGACATTAATCTTTATTGCCAAGATGGGACTGATGTGTACAACAGGAATGATAATGAAGCCTCTCCAAGCTAGGGATTCTTCAATCACATTCAAGAGTGCATTGATAGGTGTTTACTAGGTCATCACTCTAGTTGCTGAGGGAATTTTACAGAGAGTCTTCTAGTCAGTTTAGAAGTCGGAATTTACTTAAAACATCTCAAAGCATTTAGATCTGTGTTACCGCTTCGAATCCTTCATAAAATTAAAAACAAGTTTCCACACAAAAACTACTGCTCTTGCTGGTTAATTACTTTTACTAAGTGCTCATTAGAGACCAGATAATTGAAACATCATGTCCATCTAAATCGTCGGCCATCCAGGTATATACTCACTTGTGTGTTCACCTGACACAGTGTCCATAGCCTCCACCTCTACAAACAGATGCAATAATCACAGAGACATATTAAGGATAAAGACTAAGAAACCAAACAACCAAGTTTATCATGTCTTAAACAGTGCTTAATTTAAGACACGGAGACCTGGTGGCTCAGTCGTTAAGAGCTCGGCTGTTAACCAAGAGGTGGGCAGTTCAAATCCACCAGCTGCTCTTTGAAACCCTATGGGACAGTTCTACTCTGTCTTACAGAGTTACCAGGAGTTGGAATCGACTGGACGGTAATGGGTTTGGTTTTTTTTTTGGTTTAATTTAAGACAATATATGTGAAACAGGAGTCATTTGATTTGTTGCCTTCAATTTCACAATTATACAAAAATTGTGAGCTTAATTAACCAAATCTTATTCTGAAGAAACGGATTTTGCCTTACAGTAAGAATTTTCCGTAACTATTTAAAATGTATTTTTGTTGTAATGTTTCTGACAATTGTCATGTCAAATAGTTTCCAAGGGATTCAAATGTTCTGATATCTTGCTTTTTGTTTTGTTTTGTTACTAGTGATTCCCCTTCTGCTGTTGATCTGTGACTGTGGGAAGCATGGGAAAGGGGGAGTGACAGGCGGATTTATTCCCGTTCCTGATTGTTCAGAGGGAACAATCCATCGGTGGCAAATTGAAGGAGCCCGACCTCAAGACAAAGTGAGTGTCCAGTTTGTAAAACATCTATTTCAATCATATAGAAAATAATTAAATTTATACTGAGATAGGAAAAGGGGGCAATGGGGGATAAAAACAAGAGATTTATTGACCCTCACATTAAGAGTCAGTGCTGAAATGAATGGAGCTTTTTAGAATTTTAGCTCTTCAGCTTTTATGCGGAAGCATAAAAATGGTCACTCTTGCAAGAATTTGAGCTTCTTGTAATCTCACCATTTGCAAAGGGCCACGTTTCACCTATATTGCTACCAAATCTGATTTGCTTTTAAATATATTTATTTTTTGAACATGGTTTGCAGGAAATCACAAATATTTGTGTGCCACCTATAACAGCCAATGGAGTCGAATTCACGGAAAACTCTGGTAAGTGAATATCAAATTTCATTTTTGAAAGCAATAATGGGTTAAATAAGAAGTATTCAACAACAACAAGTGCTCAAAATATTTTTTAAAGTAATTTGCGTGTGTGCATATGTCAGGAAAGTTTACCACTGAAAAAGGTTTAATAATCACCTTTTATTCAATTCCATGATACGTATCTGGCTTCGATAAGTTAATTTGTCCATTAATGCTACCAATTTTAATTTCTGAAGAGTTACTACACTTTTGCCAAACTTTAATAAACTGATGTATGGCTCTTAGGCAATCAATTACTCATTTTTTAATTAAGAAAGATTTCACACACATATTGTTGTTGGAGTGGCTCTGACTCATGGCAACCTTAAACACAACAGAAGGAAATGTTGCCCGCTCTTGCACCATCTTCAGCCCTGTATCAGACAATATTCTGTTGTGATCCATAAAGTTTTCATTGGCTAATTTTCAGAAGTAGATTACCAGATCTTTCTTCCTAGTCTGTCTTAGTCTAGAGATTCCACTGAAGCCTGTCCATCGTGGGTGACCCTGCTGGTATTTGAAACATTGGTGGCATAACTTCCAGCATGATAGTGATGTGGAAGCCACCACAGTACAACAAAGTGACAGAGAGGTGGTGGTTCACACATATAGGAAAACATAGCAAACATCTGTGTACTTACCACCCAACTTTGTCTGTTCTTAACATTTGTTCATATTTGCAGTTAGCCTCATATGCAGGCATCCTCAATCCTGTTTTCTTTCTTCCTTCCCCAGAAGTTAACACTATCCTGATTTGTATCCATTTACTAATTATTGTGTTCAACCATAATGAGACAAGATCTCTTATGTTACCATATAGGTGAATTTGCATACGTCATTGGTTTTTACCATGTCAACTGTTTTGTTGCTATAAATCACAATGCCACAACTAAAGCCAGAGAGACAGTAAGGACTGGTGCCTAATATTAAGCCTTTACTTAATCCTATATTAACCAATTGATCGATTTTTAGTGTCCAGTCTGCAAAAATCAACATGAATTCTAACCAAATATGTAACAGGCTGTTTTTGTCAGCTACCCCAATCCTCACTGGCTTCTCCTATTATAATAGCACACAATTAGAGCAAGAAATATATTCAGAATTCTTTAGGAAACACCACTTTCCATGAAAGTGGAATGTAAAGGTAACGGGAAGAATAGTCACGGTTCATTAAATTTTCTCCAGGCAACAAGACACCAAATTAGCATCTGCTACTTTGCATGATTACATTAGGTATGTTTCCTCTTTGGCTTCCATATTGAGTCAATATGACTGTTACGCTTAATTACAATTACTTTTTCCAAGAAAACAATCAAGCTGTCATGGCAATCAGCTTTCCATGGTTGTTTGTTGAATACTGTTTTTACTTTTCCATTTCTGGCTGTTGTCACTGAAAATCTATTTCCTTTGCACATTTTATTAATTAATATATTTTCAGAGTTTTTTATCTACTAACATTCCCTCACTGTTACTCTCACATAATAGATGGTGGGGTGACTTTATCACCTCAAGTCACATAATTGTATTTTCTCCCACTTACTTTACTTGACAACCACTCATGGGTATCAAAGACCAGTCAAAAAAACAAATAATACAACAAATCACAGCATGAATGCTTATAGAATTTTCTCCCGATTTTAGAAGTTTGTACAAATACATATGCAGGAGGGACGGTGGCAGAAGGAGCTTCAGGAATGGAACTGATCACAAGGCCTGGAGCAGCTACGGGATCTGGAGTTGGTGGGGGATTTGCAACAGGAACAGTGTGTGGAGCTAGAGCTACTGCAGGATTTGGCATCTGCTCTGAAGGACACTCTGGAACAATGAGAACAAGGCATTCCACTGGAGGAACCAATAGGGGCCATGCAGAAGAAGCAACGGGCATGAACTTCTTGGACTCCTACTTTTCCCAGGTAATCTAGTGGAAAACTTTATGACCTCATCATCTTATTTACCTAGGGATCTTTTTTTTTTAAAACTATACTTCAGTTTTGTGGTTTGTTTTCTTAGTTTGTTAAAATGTTAGAAAAAATAAGTTTTCTTTCTGCCAAAATAATACATATATTGTTATTATTATTGTAATGTATTATATTATTATTATAATACAGCCACAAGTGGCTGCCAAAATTGTGTCATTGTTCGAAACGAAGCTACAAAGTAAGAGAACATGGCGAGAGGCACCTCATTCCTCCAACTGGAAAAATGGTTGAGAGCAAAAGTCTTCTGTGTTTTCAGATCAGTAACATCCTCTTAAAAAATACAAAGCAGAGCACAGTTTATTTTGTATTTTCTATGCCACAAAGGATGTTTGCATTTGTGTGCAGGTATTTTTCTGAGAGGGGGGGTTATAACATTCTTCATATTTTCAAAGGCATCCATGTCCAAAAATGTTGAAGAACCATTGGAGTAATAGCCCAAAAAATAAAAGGGAGGAGGAAGGCATGGGATTGAGGGTCAGTGGTGGGAGGAATGAAATGTCAAGAAGTATAAAATAGAAAAGGGACAAGAGAAGACGCGGGGAGCAGGTTGGTTGCCTTTTGTTTGGTGACCAAAGACCAGCAGGAGGAAAGGAGGGCTTAGCATAGATCTCACTTATAGTTTGTTATTACAGTTTAGTAAGTGTCAGGGTCTGACTTGGTGTCAGAGCTGATGAAGGCTGCCACTGTGCTTGGGGAGAAACTGGCAGGGAGAGCTTGTTTGGTATGAGGACTCTCGAGATATTCTGAGGTGTGGTGTGGCATCTAGGAGAGGCCCTATTCTGGGTAAGAGCTATCTCGGATTGTGCACGGGACGATGCCCCACACACCCTCCAAGCACAAGCATACACAGAGGCACTTCCACTTTGTCCAGTGAATAACCTTCAGGCATCAAACACATTTGCTATGTAGACCTAAATCCAGATAAATATATTCAAAATCAAGAATTAAAACCTAAGCTTAGGCTAGACTCCATTTTGATGGAATGTCAACCATATTTATGTGTGTGTGTGTTTGTGTATACGGATATATGTATATATATATAAACTGTAAAAACCAATATAGAGCTTTTGCCATTGAGTCAATTCCGACTCATAGCAACCCTATAGGACAGAGCAGAACTGCCCCACAGGGTTTCCAAGGTTGTAATCTTTAAAGAAGCAGACTGCCACATCTTTCTCCTGTGGAGCAGCTGGTGGGTTCAAATCACCAACCTTTTGGTTAGCATCCAAGCACTTAACTACAGCACCACCAGGGCTCCTTATGTCTAGCAAGCTCTTGTCCAATAACCAGATAATTTCTGTAACAAGACTGTTAATATAGAGTATTCCTTTACTGCTCTGGATGCCTAAAATTGTGCATTCATGGGAAAACCTTGAGTTCTATGAACAGCATTATATACTTTAATTGAATCTTTGTTTAAATTCCTTTCTCTACTTTTTCTCCGTCTTTAGAAAGCATTTGCCTGTGCAGAGGAGCATGATGGCCAGGAAGCAAATGACTGCTTGTTGATCTACGATAATGAAGGAATGGAAGCCCCAGATTCTCCTGTGGGCTCCCTGGGTTGTTGCAGTTTCATTGGCGATGACCTGGATGACAGCTTCTTGGACTCATTAGGCCCCAAATTTAAAAAGCTTGCAGAGATAAGCCTAGGTGTTGATGACGAAGCCAAACAACCTCAGCTACCCACCAAAGCAAGTGGTTTTGGGACTGACTCCTGTGGCCGTTCAGTAGAAGGCCAGCAGTCAGGATCTGTCAGGTGCCAGACTTTGCAAGGCAGTCAAGGAGTTGCTGCTTTGTCTGCTTCTGGGTCTGTCCTCCAACCAGCCATTTCCATCCCTGACCCTTTGCAACATGGTAACTATGTGGTAACCGAGACTTACTCAGCTTCTGGTTCCTTCGTGCAACCTTCCATTGCAGTCTTTGATCCACTTCTCACACAAAATGTAATAGTGACAGAAAGAGTAATCTGTCCCACTGCTAGTGTTCCTGGCAACCTACAGGGTCCACCCGAGTTACGAGGGTCACGTAACATGATCCATACCGAAGATCCTTGTCCCCGTTTGATATAACCGAAATGAACTGGAATAACATGCTGGCCAAGTCTGGATATTTGGATCAAATTATACAAAGTAGCATACCAAAGCTCACTGTACTGTGCTAATTTGGCAATTATTGGCTACTTTCATAAACTGATCATAATTATAAATTTTCTAGTTCAAAACTGGATGTGTTGTCACAGTTAATTCTCAAGTACTACTCAAATTGTAGTAAATCTGAATGTTTTTTAAAAAAATATTAGGATCATATCCAGCAGGAAAATCTCCTAAAAATCACTAAACTTCTGTTTTTGCAGTGCCAAAGGAAAGTGTTTATAACTTTAAAATAATGCATTGTGGGTTAGTGGATTAAGCACTTGGAGTCACCCCTGGTTCTTGTCTATCACCTTTTCTTACATCATTAATATGATGTAAGAATCATAAGGTATTTGCTAAAGCATTTTGAGCTGCCTGGAAAAAGGGAAGTTCTTGCAACTGAGTTTTTTCCATCTTCTTGGTGCTGGGAGACCATAAGGGTGTCTTTTGTTCAAAATTAAGTGCTATGGGCTTATGCATTAAACTTGCTACATCTATATTCCTTACATTCTCACAATAAGACAATTTTAAAATAGAAATGTCATAGAACATTAAGGAAAGTTGAACATAGTGTAAATAATGTCTCGTGTTTTTTTAAATCACCTTGAATGGATCTATCCAAAGAAAATACTTTACACTGAGCTCCTTTTTGCACATTTCTCAGTAACAAATCATGTTAAGTGTTAATAGTCTTTGAAAATAGCTTCTTTTTTTTAAAATGTCAGTGAGAAGCTGTAACTTACATATGACATATAATGATGTTTCTTATGTTAACAGTGTCTACAGATTTTGTGAAAATATAAAACATGGATTTTTTTTTCATAAGCCAAAGGGGTCTCTGACTAGATTAACACATGGTGAAGTTTGTGGATATGTATTATAAGCAGCATCTCAGAAAAATATTTGGTGAAATAATTTCCTAGTCAAAAATGGATATGGAAAGGGATTCCCAGTAACCTCTGTTTGTTAACTCTTACCTCTTCTAAATTAGACAGCAAATGAAATTTAATTCCTGAGTGTGACAATGTTGGATTAGTGAAGGCTTAGAATATATTATCTTATGCATGCCACCATGATGGCAACGCAGTTCTTCGAGTCATTTCTGGTCATTCAAGACATCCACCCTTTCACCCATAGAGAGCACCCTACCTCACCTGCTTGCCAACATTATTGTCTTAGTTGGGTCTTTGCAAGGTCATTGCCCAGTTCCACTATCTCTGACTGAATATAAAATACAGAATTTCAATTTTCATTTTTTGCCATATTCAAAACCTATATTTGTTTTTCCAGATGAAATGTAAAGCAATAATATGCTTTTTTGTTTGTTTGTTTGTTTTCACTTAGAAAGGTGCAGTCCTGAGGATACTTAAGACCTCCCAGATTCCTCTACCTCTAATGCCCGTCCCTCTTCCTGGCACCATGACTAACAGGAAGACAAAAGCTAGTATAGCTCCAGAAGCAGCACACAGCCTGTCCTTCCACAGACAAGGCTGCTGTGTGAAGAAAGCCCATCCTGAGGTGAAAGGAACTAGACCCTGGTAGAGGAGCCCGCTGAGTCCTGAGAAAATCTCATTGCTATCACTGCTGGTGCCTCTTGCTTCTCAATACAAGCTTGGTCTAAGGTCTAGAACACACACAGTTGATTTTTTTTTTTTTTAATGAAAACATGTTTTTAATTGTTTGATGCGGACACAATGTCTTTTTAATTAAAAATGAGATGATCCCTTTTGTACTTTTTAAGGTTTTTTTTTTTTTTTAAGCCACATGCCTATGTCATCTATTTAAAAGAATAATTTTAAATGAGAACTTATAAATAGGGATAAGCTATAAAGCCGCACCAGCTGGATCCTAGGTCCTCCTTCCCTAAGGGCAGCCCATTCTTGGTTCTTACACACAGTTGATTTGTTACTTCTGTTTATGCATGAAGGTTAAATTAATAATAATAACAACAACCCTTATTCAAAGTTCAAACATATATTCAGAATCTTCAAAGTATTTTAACTTTGCATCTTAAAATCCAACTTATCATGAAATGGAAATTTAAAGGTTATATAAGCGAAAAATCCAAAGTAAATATTTTTAAATAAAAACATATCAGTCTTATCTAGAAGAACTTAAAATTGATTTGCCATGTAACGTTAAATTCAAAGCAAAAATGTACCAATTTTTTCACTAAAAATAAAAAATGTATTAAGCAGAAAAATCTTTTTAAACTTTTTACTTGATGTATTATAAATTTTAAACAATATATTAAAACTTTAAGAATGTAATAGTGTCATAATAAAACTGTTTGACAACAAATTTATGAGTGCTTTCTTAACTAGTAAAAGCTGAACTACTTTATGATTAATAGTTATTGAGAAATATGATATAAAAAAGTGACTGACATATACTTTTTTATCAGTATTCTACATTTTTTTTCTAAGCTGGTATCTTTTCTTTTCTATATTGGCACAGATGGGAAAGAAGTGTCTTGGATTTGTCTGGCATTCAGAATCTCTTCAGGTGGAGACGGTGCCCGTCGTTGTGCTGGACAAGATCAGGGCAGGAAGACTTTTACTAACTGGATACTTTAAATCATGTATTGTTTATTTGATAGTTTGGAATAATCTTTCATGCAAAAGTTCTGACATTCTAAGA